CGCCTCCCAAGCGGCGCACTGTAGCAGTGCGCCACCGGGCCGGCCCATAGTGGTTGTTTCTACCGTTGGTTTATTGTAATAGTGATGACGTGTACATTCAGGTACAAATATTTGTTTGAATATCTATTTTGGCTACATTGTTAGAAATGGAAATGATGGGTCATATGGTAATTCTGTTTTACTTTCAGAGCAGTAGCCAAACTGTTTCCCACAGTGGTGACATCATTTTGCATTCGCACAAGCCACGTATGATTGTTCCAATCTTAACATCCTTACAGTACTTTTTATTTTCTATTTTTATGATTATAAGCATCCTGGTGCATATGAAGTGACATCTCTCTGTGGTTTTCATTTGCCTTTCCCTAATAGCTAATGGTGTTGATGTGCTTATTAACCATTTGTGTGCAGAAATGTCTATTGAAGTCCTTTAGCCAACTTTAAAATTGTTTGTGTTTTATTGCTATTGAATTGCAAGAGTTGTTTATGTATTCTGAATCCTAGACTTTTATTTGATATTACCATCTTTACTTCATACCATTTGAGTTTGAATTAATACCAATATAGTTTAAGTAGTGTGCAGATTATCTTCTTTAGAGCTCTATCTTCCTCTTCTACAGTGTTTTTTCATAAACTGGATCTTAATACATTGTTTATCCATTAAGATAACTTTTATAATATTTTTTCATGCATTTGTCTTTTAAGTAATATAGAAAAAAAAGAAAAAAGAGAATTTACAATTAATACTAATATTCAATAATAACGGATTTAAATTGACCTATGCATCAATCTTTACCATACTTAAATTTTTTTCTTGTATGGCTTTGAGTTACTGTCTAGTGTCTTTTCATTTCAGTTTGGAGGATTTCCTTTAGCATTTCCTGTGGGGCAGGTCTGCCAGTGATAAACTCACTTAATTTTTGTATTATGTGGAAATATCATAATTTTTCTTTCATGTTTGAAGAATAATTTTTTCTGGATTTAGAATTCTTCATTGACAGTTTTTTTTTCAGCACTTAAAAAATGCCATCCATATGCCTCCTGACCTCCATGGTTTCTAAAGAGAAATTATCTTAATCTTATTGAGGATTCTTTGTACATGATAAGTCACTTCTCTCTTGTTTTTTTTCAAGATTCTCTTTGTTTTTCCTACAGTTTATATACTATAAATTTGTCTTATTGTGGATTCACTGAATTAATCCTGCCTGGAATTTATTGACGTTCTTGGATGTGTGGCTTCATGACTTTCATCAAATTTGGGAAAATTTCAACCATTATTTCTTCAAATATTGTTTTCTCCCTTTCTCTCTCTCCTTTCCCTTTGGGACTCCCATTATACATATGTTATTACACTAGATGGAGTCCCACAGGTCTCTTAGACTCTGTTCATTTTTCTCCATTCTTTTCTCTTTCTGCTCTCCAGACAGGAGAATTTCAATTGTCCTATCTTCAAGTTCAGAGGTTCTTTCTTATGTTGCTCAAATATGCTGATAATTCTCTCTGTTGAATTTTTCATGTGTGGCCTCTGAAATCTGTGTTCTGCTAGCTTAGCATTAAGCTGGTGTTTGACAGAGTTACATTAAATGCCCGGAGACAACAACAACAACAACAACAAGGGCCGGCCCGGTGGCGCACTGGAGAGTGCGCCGCTTGGGAGCGCGGCGGCGC